ACAAAACAAAACTCTTGACCAGGCATTACAATACCAAAAACTTACAGATGCTGAGAGAAAGCGGAGCCATCCAACCATAACCAGGCACCACGTGCTTCATCATAAGACAGCCCAATCCAATACAAATTTTCACTGGCAAACTTAAAAATCTGCTAGGAAACAAGGGCAACAGTTTATATTAACTTGAAAATGCTCTGAGGAAGTGGTGTTTTTAAGAAAATCAATATCCCAACATATAAATTGCACACAGAGACGTCATCCTAATCTTCTAAATTATAAGGTACAGTCTTACAACAGACTCCTTTTTCTCATTTGGCAGACCCATTACTTTATGCAAAAAAAAAAAAGTTACTAAGCTATCACTTTCAGAAGGGAAAAATCTTTGTTATAAAAATCTATAAAGTAAAACAAAATAAAAAAAATCTATAAAGTACACTGCAATCCCAGAGGTACGCGGTTCAAATCCACCAGATGCTCTGCTGAAGAGGGAGGAACAATCGCCTCCTGTACCAGTCAGATCCAATTTGACGGTACACACATAAAATAAACAAAAATTAAAAAAAAAAATCTATAAAGTAGATCAGAAATCATACAGGAAAGCTTTCAGATCAACACCATGATGAGGGATAAATCTGTTTATGACCCCATCAACCTTTCTTCGATTCAGTCTCTTCATACATCTAAAGCAATTTATACTTTTTCTTAGGAATTTAATTGTTATGATCATAATCTCTCTATTTTGATTCAGAGACAAGAATAAAGCTACATATTTTAAAAACAACCTGTAAATTCAACTAAAGACTTTAATATTATAAAGCCATTTAGATGACTCTTTGGATAAAATAAGTAGAAATAATGATTTATTACACTGAATCCACTGAGAAAGATTTCTGTCACTCTAGCCAGCACACTAATTCTATTCTTTGATATAAATCTTTGAGGAATTTTATATGAGTTTTGTACTGGTTGTTTCACATCAGAATCTATAACAATTTGTTCAAATATAATCTAGTTAAGATTATAATCTAGTTAAGATTATATTAGCTGTATGGATCAAAATATTCATCTTACTTAAATATCATGTTTTCTAGGACACAAATTTGACTACAGAAGTACATACAAATTCCTCGTTGCTTTTCAGCTGCAGTAAGGTGGAATTCTGAGAAACACAGAAATCCCTGCTTTCTTCCCAAGTGTTCTTTTCATTAGAAAAGAAGTAACAATTGCATTGGTAACCTGTCCACTTTTCTTGGCATGAACAACAGTCTGAACCTAAGACAGAAAATAAAATGTGATTGATGACTTTGGGGATTTCAAATATTGTTATAGCTATTTACTCATTCAAACAATTTACTATTTCTCTTTTATTTACAAATAATCTTTGAACATCTACTACACTCACTGAATGTTCTTTATTGAGGATTGTTAACTTTGAATGAGTCAGATGTAAAAATTTTTATCAGAGGTTATATTCTAAAGAAAAAATATATATAATTTCTAATTGTTTACCAATTATATCCAATGATCATTTTGATAAACATATAAAATAAATTCTGTATATTAAAAGGGTGTATTGTTCTTTTACAGGATGGTAGGAAGATTTAGTTCTTAACAGACTCACAGCTGACCCTCCAGTGAGTATTCAGAGAAAATAAAGGAGAGTCAAGGGAGGAGATGGTCCATCTCTCTTGCTGACCAGCTCATGGATTGTAACCTTCTGTTTTGGGGACTGTAAATATGGGGGGAGGAGGGATATATTTAGAAGAATCTGAATTAAGGTCTTGACCAAAAACTAATCTCAAGGTGCAACTAAATAGAAGATAACTACATGAAAGAGAAGTAATTTTAAAAAGTCAAAGCATTTTATCATATTTTTCCAAACTGAAAAAATAAACTATATCATTAATTGATGACTTTTTGCTGTTTTGGATTTACTTTTTTTAAAGTATGAAGAATAAACAAACAATGGTGTGAAGCCCATAAATGAAGTTTAGCACTGGCAAGTGACTTCAACATGTCTTATGTTCAATAACTGAAAACATGACATATGGTGGATTCTCAAATGTTTACCAAATAACTAGTGTTGAGAGTGCATAAAATAGAAATAAAATGCCATTTGATCAGAAAAGGAGAGATAATTTGGAGTTCATAGAGATAAAAGATATTAATTTAGAAATTGTACTATAAACTTCTTCTTATGGTATAAGTAGATTTTATAATTGCAGAAATAAAGGTGCAGAGTAAGGAAAAGTGTAGATTATGAACAAACACAAGCAAAGAATTAGGATTAATTCTAAAATATCCTTTCATTTATAGATGACTTATTACTTTAAATATGCATTCACTGAGGCTCCAAATCAATCATTTTACACATAAATTATCCTTTTTTCTTTAGCATATTAATTATGTGTCAAATATGTAATTTAGTCTTATATTAGAGAACTATGTAATGAGGCTTTTCTGGAATTGTTGTTATGTGCTGTCAAGTCATCTGCAAAGTCATCTCATAGCAACCCTATGTTCAAAAGTCCTAAACCCTACCATATCCTGTGTCAATTTTACTGTCTCTGACACATCTACCCCTGTTATCCCAGTCACTGAATCAATCCATCTCTTTGAGAATCTTCTCTTATGCTGTCCCTCCAGCCTCCCAAGCATGAGGTACCTCTCCAGAGACTGGTCCTGCCTTGCAAAATGTCCAAAGTATGTCAGACCAAACTTCAGTATTCTTGCCTACAAAGAACAGCCTAGTCTCACTCTCTCTAGGATGAACTTGTTTGTTCTCCTAGCAGTCCACAGTATATTCAATACTCTTCTCCACAGCTCAAAGGCGTCAATTCTCCTTCTATCATCTCTAGTCATTTTCCAGCTTTCTGATGCATAGCAAATAATTGCTAAGTAAAAAACTATGGCCTATCCCCTTTTCCTTATGAATCAGGATGAAGTCTCTCTCAGGGACGAGTGATAGGGTATAGCAAAGGACACACTGACAAAGGAGATAAATCAGAACTGGCTTTGACAAGCACTGTGGCAATTGGACAATTAAAACAGATTTTCAAGGGGTGGGGGAAAGAAGAATGAACTGGGGAGGAGGGTAGAGAAAATAGTACAACAATGAATGAATGAAAACCCAAAATCTTTGTAAATGTTCATTAAAACTAATAAAATTTAATAATTAAAAAAAGGACTATGGCCTGAATCAGGTGCACCTTATTCTCCAGACTGACATCATTTCTCTTCAGTACTTTGGAGAGGTCTCTGACAACAGACGTTACCAATTCAACTCATTTTTTTCATTTTCTGGTTCCTAGTACCAAGAGTGTTGATTGTAGAGCCAAGCAAACTGAAGCTGTTTACAATCTCAATCTCTTTACCATCTGTCATGATGCTATCAATTGGTCCAGTGTTGAGAATCTTTGTTTTCTTGATGTTGAGCTTCATTCCATACTACAGTCTTTTGACCTTCTGCAACAAGCACTTCCGATCTTCCTCAGTTTCAGCAAGCAGGGTTTAGTCATCTGCATTAAGCAGATTTTTGATGATTCTGCCTCCAACCCTGATGTCACATTTCCCCTCATAGAGCCAGGACTCCCAGATACTCTGTTCTGCATAAAGATTGAAAAGATAGGACACATCCCTGGCATACACCCTTCCCGATTTTGAACCATGAAGTGTTCCCTTGCTCTGTTCTGACAATTGTCACTGGTCTAAGTATAGGCTTCACAATTTTCTCAGAGTCAGCCACAGTTTATTGTGATCAACACAGTCAAATGCCTTTGTATAGTCAATGAAAAACATTCATCTGGTACTCCCTGCTTTCAGCCAAGATCCAGCTGACATTAGCTTTAATATCCCTAGTACCATGGCCTCTTCTAAATTCAGCCTGCACTTCTGGCAGTTCTCTGTTGATGTATTGTCCCAGTTGTTTTTTAATAATCTTCAGCAGAATTTTTCTTGCATGTGATATCAATGATATTGTTTGATAATTTCTGCACTCTGTCGGGTCACCTCTCTTTGGAATGGGAACAAATATAGATCTCTTCCAGTCACTCAACCAAGTGGTTGTCCTCCAGATCCCTTGGCACAACTTGGTGAGCACAACTAGGGCAGTGTCTGTTTGTTGAAATATGTCAATCAGTATGTCATCAATTTTTGGAGCCTTGTTTTTTGCCAATTCTTTCAGAACAGCTTGAAGAAAATAAAATTTATATTAAACCAGGCTGCCCCTTGAAGGAAAGAATTATGAAGCTCTGTCTGACATACCTTGGGCCCGTTGCAAGAAGGGACCAGTCCTGGAAAGCACAGGAGATGAAGTCTCTCAATGAGATGGATTAATTCAGGTACTGGGATAATGAGGGTAGGTGTGTCAGAGACAGTTAGGTTGGCTCAGAATAGATCAGGGTTCAGTGCTGTTGTACATAGTGTCAGTATGAGTCACAGATGACTTGTCAGCACACAACAACAACTATATGATATACCATCATGTAACTTCCTTTGATTTTTTTAAAAGTTGATTGCTATTTCTATCATCATTGAGAATTTAAAAAAAAAAGTCCCAAAACCTTACCTTTCTGAATTTCCAAGTTAGGTCCTGGAGAGGAAGTTGACTGTACACTCTGTTGAGTAAATTCTATAAGAATTAATAGAAATTTATGTAAACACTTACATAAAAATACATTGTTGTTATTAAGTACCTTTCAGTCAAGTACGACCCATAACAACCTTATCAACAACAGATCTTAACCCTCTCCTATCCTGTGCCATCCTCACACTTCTTGAAACATTAGATCTCATTGAGGCAGTCACCTTACCTGTCCACCTGGTCTAGGATCTTCCTCTCCTTCACTGACTCTTCACCCTTCCTAGCATCATGTCCCTCTCCAAGGAATACCCCCTTTTACCAACATGCCCAAATTATCTGAGATGAAGCGTCATCATCCTTTCCTCCAAAGAGCACTCTGGCTGCCCTCGCCAAGACATATCTGTTTGTTCTTTAGGCAGTCCATGGGATGTTAATTGTAGACCAAGTAAGATTATGTTGTTGACAGTTTCAATCTTTTTCACATTTATTATGATACTGCTTCTCGGTCCCACTGTAAGAGTCTTTGTTTTCTATTTTTATTATTATTTTGTCATCTTTTTTTTTTTGCCTTCTACAGACATCTGTTATTGATAATTGAACAGTTAAATACTTGATGACTGGTCTTTGGTGCTGATCCAGGCTCAACATCAGGAGATCAAGGATTTCCAGGGAAGAATGGGTGAGTCCTGCGGTTCCCAACCCCCTGCTGCCCGCGCTGCTGCTGCAGCTCCCTGAGGCTCCCACCAGAGATGGACGGTAGGCACCGCACCCACCCCCCACCCCCGGCCAGGTTGGTGCAGTGGAGCCGCCACAGTGCAGCAGAGTGGACTGGTTCTGGGTAGAACTCTTGGAGCCAAGATGGCAGAGGCAAGAGACAGGGCAGTAGAATGGGGTTTCCTTTAATTGTCATCTTAACGAAGATTTACAGATAAGTTGGATTTTCATTCACTGAGACACATTTTGCTCCCTCCCTCATCCTTCCCACCTCCCAATTCATTATATATATGTATATATTTTCACTCATTGTTGCACAATTTCCTCCCTCCTCCCACACCTCCCAGGCCTCTTTGCAATGTATTCTGGACCGTTGACTTATATATAATAATATATGCCCTTTAAACAGTTCTTTATCTCATCTGTTCCAATACAGTGTTCATTATGCTTAGTGAAATGTCACAATCCCAAAAAGACAAATACTGCATAACACCATTGTTATGAGGCAGGACTGACATGGGGGATTGAGAGGAGACTAGGGAAAGAGTGGATAGAAAACGAATATTTCCTTTTCTTGGTGTTGAGATGCAATCCATATTGAAGGCTATTTTTTTTTATATTTTGCAAGAAGTGCTTCAAGTCCTCCTCACTTTCAGCAAGCAAAGTTGTGTCTTATAATTCAGGTTATTGATAAATCTTCTGATCTTGATACCACATTCCTCTTCAGAGAGTCTGACTTCTCAAATAATTTCCTCAGCATACAAATTGAATAGGTATGAACGAGTAGGTATTCATCTATTTGACATCAGCAATAATCTCTCTAGTACCTAGACCTTTTCTAAATCCTTCTTGAACTTCTGGAAATTCCCTTTCTGTGTACTCTTCTAGTCATTTTTAAATGATCTTCAGCAGTATTTTGCTTGAATGTGATATTAATGATATTGTTCAATAGTTTCCATATTCTGTTGGATCACTTTTCTTGGGAATGGGAAAAAATATGGACCTCTTCTAATCCATTGGCCAGAGAGCTGTCCTCATTTCCTGGTATAGACTGGTGAACATAAACAGGAATGCATCTCTTAATTAAAATAAACCAATGAGTATTCCATAGATTCCTAGTTCCTTATTTTTTGTCAATGCCTTCAATCTAGCTTCCACTTCCTCCTTCATTACCATTGGCTCTTGCTCATATAGTATTTCCAGAAATGTTTCAGCGCGTCAGTTTCTCTTGGTACAGTGATTCCGTATATCCCCTTCATCTTCTTTTGATACTTCCTGGGTCATTCAATACATTGCCCACAGAATCTTTCAATACTGTGACTCCGGGCTTAAATTTAATGCAGAACAAGTTCTTTCCTTTATATTCTCCAATTCCAATTCTCTGCACATTCATCTCATTATAATATTTTGTTTTGTCTTCTTGAGTTTCCCTTCAAAATTTTCTGTTCAGCCCTTTTACTCCAGCATGTTTTACCTTCATTTTGGCTTCCCAATGCTCTAGTTTAATTACCAGAGTCTCTTCTGACATCCATATCTGTTTTTCCTTTTTCCTCCATCTTTGTAAAGACCTTTGGCTCTCTTCATGGATCTTATCCTTAATATAATCCCACAACTCATCTGGTTCTCCATCACTGTTCTTCAGTTCTTAAATCTATCCTTAAAGTGATTTTGAAATTTATATGGAATAATTTCAAGATGATATTTTGGTTTTCATAAACTTGTTTTTCATTTTTTTTAGCCTCAATTTGAATTTTGCACATGAATAATTGATGGTCTGATCCACAGTTCACCCCTGGCCTAGTTTTGACTGCTAATATTAAGCTTCTCCAATGATTCCTTCCATAGATATAGTCAATATGATACCTTTACAGCCCAACAGGCAAGGGCCATCTGTAAATTTGCCATTTGTGTCTTTTTAAAAATGTATATTTTCAATGAATAAACCATTGAAAATAAAAAATTTGATTATTCTATTTCAGGTCTCTTTTCTATCACCAAACTCATATTTTCTGACTACTATTCCTTCTAACTTTTACATCCCAAATTGCATGTTTGGTCAATTTCAGACTGCAAGATTTGATAAAATTTTCAACTTCTTCCTATTTGGCTCTAAGCATAGAAGTGTATATTTGAATAATAGTCATATCATCATGTCTTCTTTATATGCATATGGATAATAAATATCCTGTCACACACAACATTGTAGTACAGGATAAAACTTGAAATTAACTTTTGGCTGAGTACACCACCATTCTTCTACTTTTTATTCTGATTATCTGATTCAAACCTAGTCTCACTAATACCTAGTAGGTCAATGTTCATGTGTTACATTTCATTTTCCACAATTTCTACATACATCTCATGTTCCAATTATTATAGGGTGTTTGCCATTATTTTTCTTCATTTTGACCAACTTCCAGTCTGGGCTATACTAATACTATTATAACTATATGTGCTTCTCTATAGTTTATAAGGTTTTACAAGGCCTGTTATTTAAGACATGGATGGCCAATCCTGTTTCGTAGTCCGTCTTAATTTTGGAGCTCTACTACAATATGTCCACAATGGAAAAACCTTGTGGCACTAAGACCTAAAACAATAAAATATTACTAAAGATAAAACACAAAGTTGATTAATAGTTTTATCACAATACTGATTTTTATAAAAATGGCTAGAAAAGCTTACGAATTTTCAGTAGAACTCCTAAAGTAACCATCAAGAAAAGACATATTCCTCCTAAGGTTCCAGATATCAGCCTCCATTGAGCAGTCTGAAAAACTGGAGTAAAGGGAAATAGGTGCTGGTGTTACTAACAGTAGAAACCAGTGAGAGACAATCAAGAAGTTCCAGTACTCACAGTATGGCTATACAGAAAAATATTCTAGCAATTAAGTCTTTTATTTGATAATACAATCATTCTCTCAATGTATCATCAGAAAAGGAAGATGTTCCTTTTAGAGCTACAAACATAATCAGCCTATTATTTAGTGTCTATTATTCTCTGAAGAGATTATCCATGCATTCATACATATTCTTTACCAACTCTATTTCCAGAAGACTTTAAAATGAATTTAACATACGATTTATTTTTTTTAATTGAAAGAAAAACCTAGACATCTACTGTTGAAAATTATTAAGAAGTGCCAATTTCTATTCATGTGCTTATTTTTAGACCTCTAAGATAAAATAATCACAATGTTGATTCCCATTAGGTAGGTAAAATAATTGAGGATTAAAGAATAACACCATATTCTAGTTTAGTGTGTGAACTGCATGCATACAATTTAGTTCTATTTAACATATACTACTAATGTCATTAATAAATATATTATTTGATAGCATGACCTGCTGCTAATCCCAATACAAACTCTGCTTTGATAAATATTCATGTGCGTATAGCTATATAAAGGTATATAAGGTAAAGAGACAGGAACACTTCGGAATTAAGAATGAGAAATTCCAAAACCAATGCACAGAGGAATTCTCCGGCAAGCTATATTCAATTCTGAGCATATTGAATTATGCTATAATTTTTTAAAACTTATTTTTTACGAGAAATAACATTCGCTCTTCTTAACAAAAGTTACTTGGTTACAGGCTTTTTTTTTTAAGAAAAAAGTTTTTTACTTTAGGAGATTCTGCATTAATATTAGCACAATCCCAAAAGATAATGTCAATAATAAATTCACTGTATTTTAACTGCTACTCTTGAATAGATTTAGGAGTCACAATACAAATCTTCTTCTAAAGAAAGGAATATTGAAATGTAAGTTTTTCAATTATCATGTTGAAATTATGTTGATAATAACATAGCCATGTGAATTTATTTCTCATTCAGAATGTAAACGTATCCATATTTGAAACCAAGAAACAAAGAAATCTATCTTAAGGAGTATACTCAAGGTACTCTTTAAAGGCAAAGATGGTGAGACTAAAAAGTTCACATAATTTTGACATATTACCAGCAGGAACGAGTCCTTGAAAAGGATATCATGCATGGAAAGTTACAGAGAGTGGGAAAAGGAGAAGATACTTAGTGAGATGAATTGACACAGTTACTGCAAAAATGGGTTTAAGTACACTGCAAATTGTGAGGATGGGCACATGACTGGGCAGAGTTTCAATCTGTTATAAATATAGTATGTTCAAATCAGGGTCTTTAATATGAGTCAGAATTCACTTGATGACACTTAACAACATATTACCAAAAGCCCCTTTTTGGAAAAGCTTCCCAGACCGTTCTTAGATTAAAGATTGATGATTGAAGACTTTAAAGTGAATGCAAGAGGCATTGACACATAAATAGCTAAAATATTGACTGTCTCTTATGGACCTCTGCCTTAGATTTAGCCAGGCCAATGAGAAAGGTTTTTGGGATACATTTATCATTTGTTTTTCTGATTCGGAACACACAAGCACACATACCTGCCATGAGAAGAGATGTCCCAGCGTTGAGGTAAGGAAAGCACAATGAGTGCTTGTTTGCTAACAGAGTTGGAGCACGTAGCTGAGCTGAAGGTTAAGGATTCCAAAAGGATATTTGAAAAAATTTAAAAAAAAATGAAATGTACCTATTTAAATGATGTCCTTGAATGATCTGTTGATGAGCCACATAGAACAACAAATAAGAAGCAGTCAAATGACTGCTTCTAAAGCGCCCCGGATATCACAATACAGGAAATTCTTACCAAACATGTGTATAAGCCCTTTGATTAGCAGGAAAGCATGTGAGAGGGAGTTTGCTTGTTGTGTTTGATGTTTCAATGTTAAAATAATCTTCATAATGTATTTGGAAAAAAACTTGGCAAAAATTGGTAAAAGATGAATGTAGTAATTCCCAATTTTATGTAGAATTTTTCTACTTTAATAACAAGCATTTACTTTGTATAAAACACATGTAAACGTAAAATATATATATTAACTCATGTGCTTATAAAATGTTTTAGTAAGAAGATTACATGAATATCTTATCTTCTTAATGAAGGAAAACATTCCAAAGGCCTAAATAACTTATCCAAGATAACAAGTTTAAAAACTAAGCAATCTGGCTCTAGTACAACCTATTTTAAATCAAGCCCATCTCTCTGTGTCTATATTTTCAGCAAGTTTTATTTCCTTTATTTTACCCAAAGTACTTGGCCTAACAATACCTCATTTCTTCATTTCCTTTCTAGTCTCATTTAATCAGCCAGAACAGACAGAAAAAAAAATAAAGTGTTGCCTTAAGATTCACTATATAAACAGAGCCTGTGATGCATGATCCAAGGACGTAGAAAGAGAAAGTTTTACTTTAAAGAATTCACCCACACAACAGTGAAGATTGAAAGATCAAACTTCTTGAGTGAAGTGCAGGCTTAAGAGTTCTTCAGAGTAAGTCAAGTGTCAGGCTTAAGAGTTCTTCAGAGTCATAGACTTAGACGAGTTGGTAAAGACAGAAATGGACAATTCATTTAGCAGACTTGCATCTTCAAGATCAACTGAAAGAAAATAATAGATTGGGGTGAAGGAGAAAGAGTCCTGCCAAAATAATAATTTATAATCTGAAGGAAGACAACAGTCTAAGGAAACTCTCCTTTCAACTACTTGCTTTATTGTGTTAGATTTTATTTTATAGCTTCATTACATTGTTGTTGTTGTTGTTGTTGTTGTTGTTATGTGCCGTCGAGTCGTTTGCGACTCATAGCGACCCTATGTACAACAGTCCTAAACCCTGCTCTATCCTGTGCCAATTGTATTGCCTCTGACACACCCATCCTGATTACACCGGTCACTGAATCAATCCACCTCATAGAGGGTCTTCCCCTCCAGCGCTGTCCCTCCACCCTCCCCAGCATGATGTCCCTCTCCAAGGAGATGCATGCAGTGTGTCATCCAAATATTCTTATGGAGTTAAAAAATGTAAAGTGTTCAACTGATCATCAAAGGTTTGGAAACTTGAGTTAAGCCAGAGATACCTTAGAAGAATGATTTAATGATCCACCTCTAAAATTCAGCTGCTGAAAATCCTATGAAATAGTTATCCTCTGTAATCTATAAGGTTATCCTGAAACAGGTGGAACTTGCTGATATTGGCATGGTTTGGCTTCTTAAAATTTTGAATGTACCATGGACTAGTAGGGGTCATGGTACTAGAGATATTGTAGCTGATGTTAGATGGATCTTGGCTGAAAGCAGGGAATACCAGACGAATGTCTATCTGTGTTTCATTGACTATGCAA